GAACAAAATCATTTTCATCACGAACAACCTGGAATCACATTATCTCGCAGGAAAAGAAATGGATGGTACGGGAACAATAACACGGTCTTCTCTAAGAGTGATCTGGTCGTGGCGCATTGCTCCCACTCGTCCAAATCATCCTCAAAGAATATCGCACGGTCAGACTCAATAACCCGGATGGAATGAGAAGGGCAGTAAAATCTGCTACCACGAGAACCGATACAATAGCCAATGAAGAATCCACTGACAGTCTTAAGATCAAGTTTTTTCAACTGAGGATTATAAGGTCTCACCTCTGCCTTACAACCCCACACATGAAAGTGTCTTAAACTTGGCTTCTTCCCAGTCATAAGCTCATAAGGAGTCTTTGAAACAGACTTGCTAGGTACTTGATTAAGAATATACACAACAGTCCTTAAAGCGTCTCCCCAAAGGAAATTCGGTAAAGAGGAATGACTCAACATACATCTCACCATATCTAGAAGAGTGTGATTCCTCCTTTCCGCAACACCATTTTGCTGAGGAGTACCGGGCATAGTATACTAAGCTTCAATACCACATTCATTAAGAAATCTAACGAAAGGTCCTGGATTTCTTCTAGTCTCATCATATCTTCCATAATACTCTCCACCTCTGTCAGACCTTACACATTTTATCTTCTTTCCAGTTTTCAACTCAATAGTAGCTTTGAAGGAATTAAAAGCATCCAAGGAACTTGACTTTTCTTGTAGGAGATCTATCCATCCAAATATGGAATAATCGTCTATAAACGTGATAAAATACTTGTATCCACCCATGGATATGGGTGTCATAGGTCCACACATATCAGTATGAATAAGTTGCAACACATCATCACATCTGTTTACATCTGCATTTCTTACTTTTACAGTAAGTTTCCCCTTAATGCAATCAATACAAGTATCAAAATCAGAAAAATTCAGATCATGCAGAATACCCTCTTTAATCAACCTCTCAATCCGAGTTCTAGAAATATGCCCCAGACGTCTATTCCACAACATAGAGGAATTTTCATCAACTCTACTACGCTTATGTCCAACAATAGAATTAAAAGACATGTCATTCGTATTTAACACGTAAAGTCCATCACATAAAACTCCTAAGCCAACAATAATTGAATTGAAATAAATAGCAAGTTTGTCATTGCCAAATTCAAAAGTGTAGCCACATTTATCCAAAGTTGAAACTGAAATTAAATTCCTTCACATAGAAGGTACATAAACAACGTCTTTCAATAACAAAACATGTCTAGAAGGTAAATTTAAAAACATTACTCCTATGTCTTCAACTTGTGCTCTAGCTCCATCTCCCATGATAATCTTGGATTCAAGGTCACTTGGTTTTCTCATGCTTGTGAACCCCTGTAAAGAATTCACAACATGAATAGTAGCACCCGAGTCAAACCACCAAGAATTGAGAAGAACATCAACAACATTGGATTCAAAACAAGCTAGAACATACATGTGTTTACCTTCCTTATTAGCATTCTTCTTCTTAAGAATATAACAGTCAGCTAGCTTACGCCCAAATTTCTTACAATAGGCACAATTCCCCTTAAAGTACTTCTTCTTAAGCTCCAAACCCACTGATGTTTTCCCTATGTTCCTCTTTTCATGGCAACATTTGCCTTTGAAACCCTTTTTAACAGGCTTAGTACCTGAAGTAATAGCTATGAATTTCACACTATGCGGCTTGGATTTTTTCATAGATTCTTCCTTTTGGGAAATAATAGCTATCATCTCATCAATTGTCCATTCCTCCTTTTGAGCGTTGTAAGAAGTTTTCAACACATCAAACTGAGAAGGAAGTGATTCCATAACCTGCCAGATCAAAAAACTGTCACCAAGCTCCACCTTTAAAGATTTGAGTTTGTTATAATAGTGCACAAGCTTCATCATATGCTCACGAACACCACTAACACCATCATATTTGATCTTCTCAAGAAGTGACAAATATTGACCCTTTTGAGCTTTGTCAAAAGTCTTAAACTTCTCACCCACTGATCTCAGAAAAACCTTAGCATTATCATCATCTAGAATGCTTTATCGAATAGACTTCTCCATGGTGTATTTCATCACCATCAAACACACCCTGTTTGAGTGTTCCCATTTCTCGAGAGAAGCTCTTTGGACAGTAGTGGACTTAGGAGTAAGAGCTGGAGGCTCGTTCTCTCTCAAACAAAAGTCCATATTGGTAATTGCCAAATACAAATCCAGAGATTCTTTTCAATCCTCAAAATTTGTCCCATTTAAAGTTTTGACCAAAGTCAATTGCATAGGCAAAGAAGCTGGTATCAAAATAACGAAGAAACATTTAATACGCACAATTATTGTGCAAATAAACAAAATAAATGTCTCTGAATACACAACAAAACATGCCTATAATATCAAATTTCTCATTCACTATGACCCCGCCTAAGGCTCCCGAGTTATAATAAATAAGAAATATAATTTAATACCGATAAGGTACAAGACAAATAATTGACATAATAAAATTTAAAATTACATTGTAAAAAAATTCATTAACAATAAAATACCGATAGGGCATAATTAATATTAATGTAATATAAAATTAAATTAAATAATTAAATTATTTTATGTTCACAAAATTTTATACAACTATACCCACGATAGGTGAGTTTACAATCATATAAAATTATATTATGCTTAACAAAAGAAAAAAAAATTATATGATGCATGAATTAATAATAATAATTATTATTATTTATTTTATTATTTGTTTTAATAAGTTCTTCCACGGACAAGATAAGGCTCCACATGTGTCTTAGCCCCTTATAAGTCCACAGACCAAAATCAAGTCCTAGCTTGAAGGTATAGCTTTTAAGAGTCGACATTTCACGAGATTAGGCCGGGGACTTTCCGAGACCAGACATCTTGCATGAGGCCATTCACATAACCTCATGATCCAATTTTCTTCAAAATAAAAAAATTAAGAAAAACATAATAATATCATTTGTTTTCATATTCATCTTTTCTTATTATTATATATATAATTTTATAAAAACAAAATAATATATTATTTGAATTTAATGTTGAATTCTCTTCCACGCAACTTCAGTACACAACCACAACGTGCAAAGCCACGTCCATGGAACCACACATGCACGCATGTACACAGCTAATCACATCGTTTAGTCAGCTGAAAACGTGCACCGCTCGATCACCACGTACGACATCGCCGCTGTTAACCGGTGGCACAAAACACAGATCCACCATGAACAAACGACCCACCACCATGAGAACCAGACGCGCCTCGCGAGAAGACAATGCACGTCTCGACGGAGTGACCAATGCATATCGCTGCGTGCCACCATGACGGAGAGACCAGGTGTCGCGACGAACCACTTTGTGCCACCAGGCAGCTGCTCAAACGTCGTTTCTCCACCGCTGTGAACAAGACGCGAACAACCACGACAACACATCCTTTTGTTGTCGCACCTGCCATGAGCAAACCATTGCTGGTGGCCGACGCGAGTGCAAACGACCCAGAAATCCTTGATTCGAGTAATGGGACCAGAATCGTTGCAGAAAGGGGTTTCAAAATTTGGGTTCGACCGGAGGGTTCAAAAGAGTTCAATTTGAAAAATTAGGGTTGATGAAAATTGGGGATTCAAAAGAGTTTAAATTGAAAAATTAGGGTTGATGAAAATTGGGGATTTTATTTAATTAGAGTTCTAATCACAATTTCAACTGGCCCGGAAATTAATTTTGAAATTCACTCCTTAATCAATAAATTTGAATTCAAACGAAAAAGTTAAATATACCAATTTTCATGCCTTTTGATAATAAACAATTATTAAAATTTATGATACACTCTTTAAAAATAATGAACAATTAAATTATGTATCTTAGAGACTCGATACCAATTGTTTAAAACGCATAACAATATAAGATACAATAAATATAAAATATTCAAAAGAGTAGAAAGATTGTGTACCTGGAATCGTTGAAGGATCCATAGAGCGCATACGAGAGAATATTGTTATCTTCCTAATAGGTTACTATTGAACGTATTGTGTAAAGTGGTTTTATATTGTTACACGTAAAGCTGACTAATGGTGTATCGAGTTTTATACACCTATCAGCGAGAGACCAAAGATCTCTCAATAAGTAACTGATTTTGAACAATCCAACTCATCACGGATCGTTCATCGAAACCCAAATTAAATTATTATTCATAAAATAATGATAATGTGTAATATAATTGATAATTACAAATATTTAATTTATTGATTAATGTTAATCCATAACAAATAGAGAATAATAATTTTTATATATATATAATAAATTATATAAATACAACAATTACCTCTTATTATGAATAGAGTATCTTAGATAATCTCATCTCTTTCGAGTGGTTTCAAATTTCACTATATTTCCTAATGTGTTCGTTTATTGAATTGGGATAAGAAGGCTATCTAGTTTTAATGTAAATAAAGGTTAATGCTTAGTATTGCATCACAACATAATACATCGTTAAACCCGAGGAATATTATTCGAGTATCTAAGCCCCCTTTCCCGCTTCTCCAACTAAATTCCAATAAGACAAGATGCATAGATTTTCATCAGAACTTGATGAAGACGGTGTTCACCTGGTAGAAATGTGCATATATAATCTTTTCATGCATATCCTTTGCTTCATGTGGCATCAAAAACTAAGACAGCTTAGAAAGACAAAGAGACTGGATTATTCCCCGAATAGGTATTGTACTAAATTGAGCATTATAAAACCTTATATATCAAAATCAGATGCACGAGACTTTTCACATTTACTTTATTACACAGAGATCGTGTAACTAACACAAAAAGTCGTCATGTTAAGCTTTAATGAATGAATAGATAGATATACGAATATAGATTGAAATTTGAAAACGAAATTTTCTAATTTCTATTGTTGACATTTTGTAGTTAAGCCAAATATGGTTTCATGCAGTATTATTAGAAAACATTTGTTTTTGTACAATTTTGTTCAGTTATTTCTTTTATATATTTCTCTTTCCTCATATCTCTTATAAAATGTATCACTATTGCACTTCGATTAATAAGAGAGAAATGAGTATTACGTATTCTATCTTCTGCATTTAGTTTTCCTTATATGGTATCAGGAATTTATCACAATCCAGGGAGAAGTGTGTGTTTCTTGATCACAGAAGAAAGTTTTGCTACGTGTGATACTACAACAAGGTCGTGAGCATTTCTATGGAGGGTGATAAGTTCGTGTGTGCAACACAAAGAACGTTATAGCAGTGTTCAAGATTGTTGATCGAAGAAATTTTTTATACAATGGTTGGGTTAGGTGGTTTGATATAGGAACCTTGGCCAATTTTTGATGGGCAAATGTTTGGTGATTGGAGGATCAAGATGAAGGCGGTTTTTGGTTTTCAAGAAGTGACCAAGAATATTCAAAATGGTTTTCCTGAATTGAGCAGACAAAGCTCGAAGAGGAGAAAAGAAGTTTTGAGTTGTAGGAGAAACTTGATAGCAAGGCACGGTTCATCCTTTACCAATGTGTAAGTTCACAAATTTTTAATAAAATCTCAGGTGCAAAAACGGCTAAAGAAGTCCGGGACATATTGGAGAAAACATATGGAGTCGGTGATAAACACAAGAAGGTGAAACTCGAGGCACTTCGACGAAAGTTTGAGTTTCTCATGATGGAGAAAGGAGAAACTGTGGGTACATATTTTAACAAAGTGCAAGAGTTAGTCAACGCTATCAAATCTTGTGGAGACAAAATGACAAAACAACACATTGTGCATAAAATTTTGCGATCTTTATCCACAAAATTTGACCACTTGGTTCTGACTATTGAAGAGACCAAAGACACTGAAAATTTAAGTGTGGAGGAGCTACAACATTCGCTTGAAGCTCATGAATATAGGTTTGAGGAAAGAAGACAGTACCAAGAACAAGCGTTGCAGGTACGCACTCAATACAAAGTGAAATGAAAATGTTTCAAGTAGAAGAATGGTGGCAAGGGTGGTCATAAACAGAAAGAAAAACAAGATTCAAAGAGTGATGATACACATGAATTTGGGAAGCAGAAGAATGCAGAAGGTGAGAAAGAATGGAAGTATGATAAAAGAAAGGTAAAATGTTACAATTGCCAAAAGTTTGGCCATTATGCAAAAGAGTGCTGGAAAGGTGAAAGAGCAAAAAGTAAACCCAAGAATCGTGCCCATCTAGCGAAAGAGGAAAGTTCAGACTCTGATGTAGAAGCAGTAATGCTAATGGCTAAAACTGACTCTGATGAGGTAAATGATATTGCACGGTATCTAGATTCTGGTTGTTCCACTCATATGACAGGGAAGAAAGAGTGGTTTGTTAAAATGAAGGAAGTAGCAAATGAGAGAATTAGATTTGCAGATAAAAGAAGTCTTGAAGCGGAGGGTTCAGGAAGGGTTGTATTACGTGGAGACAATAGAAAAGAAGTTGCAATTGAGGATGTTTTGTATGTAACGGGACTAAAAACCAATTTGATTAGCCTTGGTCAACTCTTGCAAAAGGGTTTTGCTGTCAAAATGAAAGACAATTGTCTCAACATATTTGATCAAAATAAAAGGTTGGTGGTCGGTGCTAGTCTCTCTAAAAATAGAATGTTTCGAGTGATTATGGAAGTTGTCGAGCACTAGTATGTCATTGCGAGCAACAAATGAGTCGGAATGGTAGTAGCATTCACGTTATGGACATTTGAATTTCAAGGATCTGTTCGAGTTAAGTCAAAATACTATGGTTAAAGACTTACCACCAATCAAAGTACTTGAAGCTGTATGCAAGGAGTGTATCGAGTGCAAGCAAACCGGAAACGAGTTTCGAGAAAATAATACCATGTAAGTCTGCAATAAAGCTTGAAATCATTCACACCGATGTATATGGACCCATGCAAATTGATACACTAAGTGGTAGCAGATATTTTGTTCTCTTTATAGATGATTATACAAGGAAGACTTGGATCTATTTGCTTGAGACACAAATATGAAGTGTTGGAAATCTTTAAAAGGTTCAAGAGTATGGTGAAAAGGTAGTGTGATCGGAAAATTAAGAAGGTGAAATCGATGGTGGAGGTGAGTATACCTCTAATGAATTCAAGCGATATTGTGAAGAAATGGGTATAGTGCACGAGATCTCACCACCATATACATTAAAGCACAATGGTACAAGTAGAAAGAAAGAATCGAACCGTGTTGAATATGGTGCGACGCATGCTAAAAGGCAAGAAATTACAAAAAAATTTGTGGGGTGAAGCCGTTATTACAACCACGTACATTCTGAACCTAACATCCACAAAGACGCTGAAGTTCATGACTCCAGAAGAAGCTTGGTCGAGTGAGAAACCCAGTGTTAGTCATTTACGCGTATTTGGATCAATGTGTTACAAACCCGTTACGGATTAGTTGAGAAGAAAATTAGATGACAAGGGAGTACCATTGATTTTGGTTGGCTATCATCCAACTGGTGGCTACAAGTTATTTGAACCAGAAACAGGTCAAGTAGTGGTTAAAAGAGATGTGGTGATTGATGAAGACGCTGACTGGAATTGGGAGAAGAAAGGAATAGAGAAACCAATGATAACAGTGGAAGACAATACTACAGAAATAGAAGATACAGAGGATCACAGTCATGTTGATAATCCAACTACAGTGGTGCAGAAATCCTCCAGAGTGTCACGATAACCTTCACATTTTAGAGATTATGACCTCTCCTTCGACATTACAATCACTGATGAAGGTAACTTTGTTCACTATGCCTTAATAGCTGAGTCAGAACTTGTAGAGTTTGAACAGACACCAAGTGATGAAAAAATGGCAAAGAGCAATGCAGGAAGAGATAGAATTCATCGAGAAAAATGAAACCTGGGAGTTGTGTGAGTTGCCTAACAATAAAAGACCAATAGCGTTGAAGTGGATTTATAAAACCAAGATAAATCCACAAGGAGTCGTAGTGAGGCACAAGGCAAGGTTAGTGGCAAAAAGATTCTTGTAAAGAGAGGGAATTGATTTTGGAGAAGTTTATGCTCCAGTTGCACGAACAGAAACAATTAGATTGGTTGTTTCGTTGGTTGTTCATCGTCACTGACCATTATATCAGCTTGATGTAAAAGCTAACTTTCTGAATAGGAAGTTGAAGGAAGAAGTGTATGTGTCTCAACCGTAAGAATTTGTGAAAGAAGATGCATTGAATCACGTGTATAGATTGAAGAAAGTGTTGTATGGGCTGAGACAGGTTCCACGTGCATGGAACCAAAAAATTGATTCATTCATGAGTGAAGTTGGGTTTAAAAAATGTATCTCCGAGCATGACGTGTATATGCAGAAGCGGGTTATTGAATGAAGAATAGAAAAAATGATCATATGTTTATATGTAGATGACCTTTTGGTCACGGGAAGCTGTGAGAAACTCATTTCCAAGTTCAAGATGCATATGTTAACTGAATTTGAGATGAGTGATTTGGGAAGACTGAGTTACTTTATTGGATTCGAGTTCACTGAGCGAGAAGATGGAATGCTGATGCATCAATCACGATATGCATTGAATATATTACGCAAATTTGAGATGGACAGGAGTAATTCTGCAAGTACTCCAGCAGAAG